AAAAAAAAAAAAAAAGACACGTAAAAAGAAAACTACTCTATGAGTTTTGCTGTATTGGAGTTTGCCTCAGGAGCAATTGATTCACAGAGGAGGGAACACCCCAATCTATCTGAGACTGTCAAGCAGCCTTCGCAGCAGAGTGATGCTGGACTGCCTCTTCAAGTAGGAGTAGGCTTTTTCCTGGTCCGTAGAGTGTCCTGAGTTTTTGAGCAGCTATGAGAAACTGACAAGACACCTCCAAATAGACCTATTTAAGAAGAGAGTGATTCTGTAGTTGGAGAGCGTTCATTTAGAATCTGTTTACTATCTTGCATTGTGAGCCACAGTTGGCTTTGGATAGGGAAACACAGTCCTGTGGTTGTCAGCATCATTCCTCATTCTTACTCTTTATTTGCGAATTGCGTTAAGAGTGTAAGTAGTTCAGTGTAGAAGTTATCATGCCCACCTGCTTCTTTATTCTTTATTCCTTGTCTCAACAGATTTGTCAGGGCAGAAGCCTAGGGAGAAATTTTGAATCCTCCCTTAATCCCTACATTTCTACATTCTGAGTATCTTTGAAATCTATCTGGTGTTCTACATCTCTGTCACCCTAAGCCTGGTTGCCATTGTTTTTTGCCTGGACGAAAGTATCCTAATCTGTTATATTGTTGTTCTTCTTGCTCTCCTCTAGCCCATTCTTCATGTTGCTTTCCGAGTGATTTTATACAAGTGCAAATCTCATCATATCACTTGCCTTCTTAAAATCTCTCCCTTCCTTTCCTTCCTTTTCTTCTTTCAAGATAGGGTCTTACTATGTTGCCCCGGCTCAAGTGATCCTTCCACCTCAGCCTCCCTTGTAGCTGGGACTACAGGGAACTACACTAAGGCTGACTGTCCTTAAAATCTTCAACCGGGCACGGTGGCTCATGCCTGTAATACCAGCACTTTGGGAGGCCGAGGCAGGTGGATCACCTGCGGTCAGAGTTTGAGACCAGCCTGACCAACATGGAGAAACCCCGTCTCTGCTAAAAATACAGAATTATCCAGGCGTGGTGGCGCATGCCTGTAATCCCAGCTTCTCAGGAGACTGAGGCTAGAGAATTGCTTGAACCCGGAAGGCGGAGGTTGCAATGAACCAAGATCCTCCCCAGAATAACTGGGGGTGAGGTGAAGATTTTCTGTTGAGTTGGAGAGTGATTGGTAATTTGGGAAGGTGTTATTTATTTATTTATTTTTGAGATGGAGTCTTGCTCTGTTGCCCAGGCTGGAGTGCAGTGGCTTGGTGTTGGCTCACTGCAATCTCCGCCTCCCAGGTTCAAGTGGTTCTCCTCCCTCAGCCTCCCGAGTAGCTGAGATTATAGGTATGCAACCACCACGCCCGGCTAATTTTTGTATTTTTAGTAGAGATGGGGTTTTACCATATTGGCAAGGCTGGTCTTGAACTCCTGACCTCAGGTGATCCACCCGCCTCGGCCTCCCAGAGTGCTGAGATTACAGGCGTGAGCCACTACACCTGGCCGGAAGGTGTCATTTAAGTAGGAAGTTACTGTAATATTTTTAGAGGCTATTCCTCAGGGCTAGTGTCCTAACTGCTTGGGAGGCTCTTTAAGTGTGTTGTTTGTGCAGTTTATCGCTGAGCTATGAAAGCAAAGAAAACAGGTCCCATCTCTTAAGTATTCCAATTAAGTGAGAAGAAAAGTTGGATAAGCAATCAAATATTTATAATGCAGAAAGGTAAGATTATAAAGAGTTATATACAAAATGAAGATGAAAAAGCAATTGTCGCCATCAGGTAGTGTTGAGGACAGCCTCACAGAAGTAACATTTCAGATTTTGCTTCATTTGTCCATCCATTTATCCATCAGACTTTGTGAGTGCCTCTGATATGCCAGATACTGCAGTCACCTTTTTATAAATATATTGAGTCTTTGTGCTTGCCAGTTTTCTATTTTTAAAGAGATTATAATTGGGTTTTAAAATAAAACCCTATGAGTAAGACTATGCTGTTTCTTTAAATATGTAGAGAGAGTTATATATTTGTTTAAATTTCACAGTTTACAGGTAAAGCCTAATCTGCTGAAATATGCCAACTTTTTTTTTTTTTTTTAATTAAGTTTTTTTTTTTTGAGACGGAGGGTCTCGCTCTGTGCCCAGGCTTGGAGTGCAGTGCCGGATCTCAGCTCACTGCAAGAAGCTCCGCCTCCCGGGTCCCGCCATTCTCCCTGCCTCAGCCTCCGAGTAGCTGGGACTACAGGTGCCCGCCACTCGCCCGGCTAGTTTTTTTGTATTTTTTTAGTAGAGACGGGGTTTCACCGTGTTAGCCAGGATGGTCTCGATCTCCTGACCTCGTGAATCTGTCCGCCCCAGCTCCCAAAGTGCTGGGATTACAGGCTTGAGCCACCGCGCCGGCCAAGTTGTTTTTTTTTGAGACAGAATCTCGCTCTGTCGCCTGCCCAGGCTGGAGTGCAATGTGCATCTTGGCTCACTGCAACCTCCACCTCTGCTGTTCAAGTGATTCTTCTGCCTCAGCCTCCTGAGTAGCTGGGATTACAGATGTGTGCCACCACGCCCAGCTAATTTTTGAATTTTTAGTAGAGACAGGGTTTCACTATGTTGGACAGGCTGGTCTTCAACTCCAGACCTCGTGATCCACCTGCCTCAACCTCCCAAAGTGCTGGGATTACAGGCGTGAGCCATTGCGCCCGGCTAATATGCCAACTCTTATATTCTCTGTAATAACCAGCTGATAGACTACAATTTTTTTTTTAAGATTTTGTTATGGGTGTGAACTAATCATTTAAAGGCTCATTATTTTAGAAAGTATTCATGAAGATTTTGAATATCATTTGTAATACTTGCTCAACTATTAACCAACTGTAATCTTGGGCAGGTCACTTATTTTTTCTAGACCAGGGTTTCCTTATTGGTAGGCTGAAGATGTTTGGCTCTATGGTTATTAACTGAGCTGTATTGTTTCCCTAGGGGTGGTTGGAGAGGATTTTTTTGTTTGCTTAAATCACAATGGCATGTTGTAGTGCAAAGCATTACTGGCATTTAGTGGTTTGGGGTCAAGGATGCCAACTGGCCTGTATGCCTGTATAGTCCCTTCAGATTTACTCTGTCCCCCAGTGCCCAGTAGGGCCTTGTTAAGAAACAGCTTATCACTAAATGATCTGTCTTCCAGCTCTACAATGGCATGAGTTTGTGACTTACTGTTTATACTATTTACTTTTGCAGTTAGCGTGTAAATACTGGGCTCCCCATATCAAGAAGAAATCACCTTTTGATATAAAGGTAAGTATTTTGGGTTTGCAACATAATTCTTAAGAAGTTACACTCCTTTTAAAGGGTTATTTCAACAAAAGCTTTCCATAATTTTTTAAAAATTAAAAACAACCTAAGAATCTACAAAAAATGCAATTTTTTGCTTATGAAACTTAGCAATTATTTATGTTAGGAAATTTGGAAGACATAGAAACTACACCATAAGAAAATAATCACTACCCAGAGATAACCTGTCTTACCATTTTGTTTTTTTTTTTTTTTTATTAAAATAAAGATACTGTTGGCCCGCAGGTGTGGTGGGCTCAAAGCCTGTAATCCCCACCACTTTGGGAGGGCCGAAGGCGGGCGGATGCAGTCCTGAGGTCAGGAGTTTTGAGACCAGCTCGGCCAACATGGTGAAAACCCATCTCTACTAAAAATAACCAAAATTAAGCAAGGGGCGGGCCGTGGCATGCCATCTGTAAATCCGCAAGCGCACTCAAGAAAGGCTGAGGCTAGAAAAACGCTTGAACCCCAGAAGCCAGAGGCTGCCAGTGCAGCTAGGATCATGCCACTGTCACTCCGACTGGGTGAAAAAGAGCAAGACTCCTATCTCAAAAAAAAAAAAAAAGATTACTGGCAAAACATATACTAAATAAGAATTTAAGTTCAAAATAAAGAAAATTTTGGGTAAAAATTTCAAGTTTACCAAACCAGTCGGGCCTAAAGCAATCACCCATTAAATTATATAATGGGGCAAGAGCTTAAGAGTCTTCATTAGCTGCTGTTGAATGGCTAATACACATAGTCAACATCTGTTTCCATTAAAAGACGTTACTCCTCCTTTAAGAGAGCAGTGGGTCTTCATTCTGTTTTCGCAGGGGCTGGAGTGCATGGCCCTGATACAGTTCACTTCAGCCCTCCAACACTCTGGGCTCAGTGAGTCATCCTTTCCAAGCTTCAGGCTTCCAGGCAACTGAGACTACATGTATGAGTCAGCGCTCACGCAAGTCATTTTTTAAAATTTTTTGTAGAGGCTGCAAGATCTCACTACTGTTCGGCAGGTCTAGTCTCAACCTCCCTGGCTTCAGGTCATCTTCCTTCGTTAGGCCTCGCCAACAGGGCAACTAGGATTAGCAGGCAATAAGCGCACACACTGGTCTTGTAGAGCCTCTCTTTAAGAACCGTATTTTGAGCCTGTAATCCGCAGCACTTTTGGGAGGCGCGAGATGGGGCGGATCACGAGGTGCAGGAGATCGAGACATCCTGGGCTAACAATAGTGAAACCCCGTTCTACTAAAAATACAAAAAACTGTAGCGGGCGAGGTGGCAGGCCGCCTGTAGTCCGCAGCTACTCCGAGCGCGCGCACGGAGACATGGCGGCCGCCGGGAAGGGCGGAGCCTTGCAGTGAGGCTGACGATACGGCCACTGCACTCCCAGCCTGGGTGACAGCACGCGACGACTCCGTCTCAAAAAAAAAAAAAAAAAAAAAAGAACCATATTGAGATGAGAATTCAACCCTTATTTGGGAATTTGTCGTAATTATCTGGTTCTAATTGGCTTCAGTTGGACTTAATTCAATTGAATAAGGTTCAATTCCCCTTATTGAACATATTACTGGATTCAGTCTTCATTAGCACCTGAGTAACTTCTGGCTTCTCTCTTCCATCTTTATTATAGACCGTCTACCTCAATTCACCACTCTACAAAAATCAAAGATAACACACAGATTTAATCCTACAATGAACTATCCAAAAACTGTACCAAGAATCTTCTGTATATTTAACAAGATACTTATTACATGATGCATTTATACATAATGATATAATTTAAAAAACATCTAAGATCTACAAACAGAAAAACAGTTAAGTAAATTATACACTACCACTTTTTTTTTTAAGGTTAAAGAAAATACAACCAAAATGGTGGCCGGACGCGCTGTGGCTCACGGCCCTGTACAATCCGCAAAACTTTGGAGGGCGAGGTTGGGAGGATGCACGAGGTCAGGAGATCGAGACGCAATCCTGGTCAATCACGGTGAACCACCCGTCTCTCACGAAAAACTACAAAAAATTAGCCCGGGCGCCGTGGCGGCGCGCCTGTAGTCCCAGCTACTCGGCGAGGCTGAGGCAGGAGAAATTGGCGTGAATGCCGGGAGGTGGAGGCTTGCAGTCGAGACCGAGATTGGCGCCACTGGCACTCCAGCCTGGGCCGACAGAGCCGAGAAAAAAAAACGTCTCAGAAAAAACAACAAAAAACACAA